ACTCTGGAGAAGTAGAGATCCCTTTTTCTTGCCAGCTTCCCTAGTGGAAAGCCAGAGAGAAAATAATGGATATTTATAAGCAAACCTGTCTCTAAGGCAGCAGTTTCCAAAGTCTAATAATAGGGTTTGGACTTGTTTATAGCATGATTCAGACAGCGTTGCATAAAACTGCTGGAAAGATCCTGCCTGTCCCCAGAGCATATTCCCAAGAAGTCGTGAGTTAGAGGAGGGCCTGTGTCCAGCTGCAGAGGGTTCATGCCAGCAGTGCACCAACAGGTTCTCTCTCTCCAACGGTGCGGTCAGAGCCTCCAGGGATGCTGGAGCAAAGCAGGGCATGCAAAATGAGTCTGAAAGCCTCCTCCCAAGGAAAGAACAACCTACTCCCTGTTCTGGAACAGCAAGGTAAGAAGCCAAGGAGCCTGCTAATCTCATCTCTTGCTTTGACCCTTTGGTGTCTCATACCTGCAGCAGCGCTGAGCTAAGTGCAGGGTACCATGGTGCAAGGCAGGCAGGGACTGCACCTGCCTCCAAGATTCTGCAGCTGGGCAAAGACTGTCACAGATGTGGAAAGCCACCTGCCCCAAAAATCAAGGCGAAAAGCCAAGTCTCCAGATTGCCACTGCTATGCCCTGACCACTGGGCCGGGTTCAAACCAGACCTGCTAACAAGGGCAACCGCTTATGATTTCACCACAAAATCCACGTTCAGTGGCCCTGTTGTTACTCCTTGCTGACTCAGATACAATGTGTTGAAACTACGGCTTCGCTGGCCAAGTAGGAGGGGAAGATTAAAAACAGGAAGGCCAAAACAGCCTCCTCTTTGAATGGGGGAGAAAACAGGGCTGGGCTCTGCAGTGCAGGGCAGCACCTGTACAGCATGTTCTAAAGCAAAATAACTGCAGTTATCGCATCTCCACCCTGCTCTTGGCCAGATAGAGAGACTTTCCAGCCAGCCCATTTCAACACAGGACAGAGGAAACTTCAGAGGACTCCTCTTTGCCCACTCCAGGCAGGACGAGTGCTACAACAACGCCACAGGGGACTATTAGAAACCAGATAAGGCCAGAGCAGCCTTCTCTTTGTGTTGGGTAGAGCAAGGAGCAGCTTGCCATGTTCTAGCCAAGGATGTTTGAAGACCGTCTTGTCACTCACGTTTTAAACACTTCCCAGCAATTCACCTCCCCAGCAAGATTCATGGACTTACAGGACACAGGAGTGACAGTACTGGAAGAGAACCCAGGAGTCCCGACTCCTCTCCCCACCTCTAGCCACAGGCCTATACTGTCGCCTGCAGTTTAGAACAGGACCCAGGCACCTGACTCTCTAGTCTCGCGTCTAGCCACATGTACATGTTTGGAAGAGAATCAGGGAGTCTCCACCTCTGCATCCAGCCTCTTCACTAATCCCACAACCGAAGGCAACGCTCTGTCCTGTCCTGGCTGCAATGCTCCAATCCTGCACAGCCGTTGCCCTCCAGGTGAAGGTCTCCAGGGCATGAATGCTGCAAAAGGAGTCCACTGATCGAGAGCCCTGCTAGGTTACGATGCTCTCTCACCCTGCACATCCAGCCTGACCTTTTTTGCTGCTTGGCAGACACAGCTGGAGTTTGCAAAGCAGACAGATGGGGCCTCATTAGTACCCCTCCAGGCAAATGGATAGAGACATGTGCAGCTATTCACGGGGACACGCGCCGAATCTCAGCGGGGCTGGGATGACGCCCAGGTTCTGATGGATGCTGAAGGAAAAAGAAATTCACAGCTCTTTTCCTCCAGCAGTGCCTGGAAAGTTAGAAGCTTGAACAAACAGTTTCATTACCTACTATGTCAATGCCTTTCATTGGGTGTGATGCGGATCCGAGTACTAAGGTAGCCCTCGCCTCTGAGTTTAGTACAAGTACCAAGGAGAGAGTTGTTCCGAGCTTGGCCTCCACTGAGAATGGCTGGCTAAGCCTCAGGCTTACCAGAGACAAGGCAGGGGAACGGGGGAGAAGAAAACCACTTGACACTGATAATCCTTGTCCCAGGTACCAAACTTTGGTCAGGTATTCTCAAGAGATGAGCAGTCCGCTATGAAAACATCCTCTCCCCCGACCCCATGCTTCACAGAAATTTCCCGTGTGTTGGCCACGCAACATAGCCAGTCAAGATGTTTCCCCATTCCTTTGGAGAGAAGAGCTTTCAAACAGCAGCTGAGCTCTGGAAAGACAGACCAGCAGCCAACACACCATAACTCTGTCCTAGAACAACTTGCTCCGCGCTGATCTGCCAGCTGCACCTGAATGCTGACCTGTGGCACTCCCAACTACACTAGGCTGAAGCCCTTCCATGCTCCCAGCCTGCATACAGCCCTCAGCATTTTATCCACTGTTATTCCATTCCCAGGTCCCTGCTCCACACACTCCAACTCCTTTGCCCCCTCCTCTTCACACATACTCTCAGTTCCACACTTGTAGCAGAGTATACTAGTTCAGTTATTTTCCCTACTGAAAGACGACAAAAACTTTGAACAGTAAAAAAAAAACCCTGAGTCAAGGAAAATGAGCATCACCTCTCTGCAGATGCACCGTTCTTTTGGTTTGCCTTTCAAAAACCAGCAAATTTCTACTGAACAACACTCAAACATGCTTGAGCGCAGCAGCGCTGCTTCTCACATACCCCTGAGGCCAGGCCTAGAGCCCTACAGGGAGCTAACCAGCCTACACATCCACCTGCCTTTTGAGCAGCTTGTAGCTGAACCCCACAAACTGACTCCTGCTTTTTCTGCCTAACTGAAACAGACCTTAAATCCTGCTGGAGTAAACAGGCAGGAAAAAAGTCCTTTTGTGGAAACCATGACTTCCCTCAGCCTATTTCTGAGGGTGTCAATCTGTCTCATTGCTGGCATTTCCTCAGGGACTCTCCACCTCAGCGCTCTGCGTTGCAAAGACTGGATGAGCTCAGACGAGCTGGAATCCAGGCAGCATGCGTGACAGAGCTCTCGGTGGCAGCCCTAGATGGGATATGAAATGCCAGGCTAAAAATGCATGCTGATGCCTGACTTTACTGGGTCCCAGTACTTCACAGCAGCACTTTTCCAACCCTCAGAGCTCTCAGTCTCAGTTTGCAAGCAGAGAACTACTGCCAGCAAAGAGGAGGTTAGTACTGTAACCCCTGCACATTCTCCTACCAACCACAACGAGACACATGATCTAGCCACAGATGTGACCACAAGGATGCACCTAGCTCTGGTGCTGTCAAGAAAACAGCTTCTACCAGTGTGCCAGGCCAGAAACGAGCAGCACTCCAGAAATCCATCTAGAAATTCTTTCCTCCGGAACCAGCCAGAATAACATGAAAGGCCCTTTCTCCAAAGATGAGAGAAGAGACCAAAGGTAGGAAAAATCAAACTAAGATTGCCTGCATGATCCTGACACGTGCTACCCAGCAGGTTTGGTCACAACACCCGCCCCTGACCAAGGCGACCCCAGGCAGCCTTGGCAATCCAACTGAGGCAGATCGACAATGTGTGGTTTGCCCCTTTACCCATAGAGCTTACAAACCACAAAACTTTATTTATTTTTTAATACAGGTCATAAATCAGCGATACCAAACGTGCCTCCTCACAATGAGATCGTAAATTTGCTTTATTTAGAGTCAAAGCAAAGATTAAAAAAAAAAAAAAAACCACTCAGGACCCCTCCCCCCCCCCAAGACTCAGAAAAAAACCAACAATGCAACACAAAACTTTATTTATTTTTTAATACAGGTCATAAATCAGCGATACCAAACGTGCCTCCTCACAATGAGATCGTAAATTTGCTTTATTTAGAGTCAAAGCAAAAATAAAAAAAAAAAAAAAAACTCAGGACCCCTCCCCTCCACCAAGCTTGAGAACAAAACCAGCAATGCAAACTACAAAATGCTTTAAAAATGTTTTAGACAGAGCTCCACCTTTTGGCACAAATCTCTTCACATCCACATGTACATTCAGAAAGCAAGATTCTTCATCCAGAGAGTCCTGAACCTGGCAGGCAATTCTTGCAGTCTGTCCTACTCCCTTCCTGCAGGCCCCAAAACACATACTCCTTGGACTGCTCACTCCATCGAGTCTGCTTATTTACTAGTAATCTTCTTGCTATTGAATGCTATTTGCTTAAATACTCACTACTGTGCAAAAGCCCTGACCTGTGAATTATGAACAGATGAGGGGAGCTTTAGCCTTTCCCATCAGAAGTATCACCTATAGCTCAGTCCTTATGATAAAAACACCATTAGAAGCAACTTCACCTTCTCATACCAGACGGTTTTACCTGGGGTTGATGGATTGTCTCCATGCTACATTCTGGTTGCCAGAGAACACTACCCAAGACAATGATTCTGCTCTAACAAGGACTAAAGGAAAAGAGTCCAAAGGGATTTTGGAGGGCTTTACCTGTTGCTATGAAGGCTCATTCTGTGCCAAAGACACTAGACAAGAAACAACCTGTAGTCACAGACTCCACAGGTGACCTTGGATGAGTTATGTCGGGTGAAGATCTTCAAAGCACTTTATCACTTAACTTCCCACTGAAATCAGTGTTAAAATTTGATCTTCACTCACCATCCAAAAAATGAGAATAACAACCCTTCTTTTCATTGCCTCATCTCTTTAGCCTGCAAATTCTCCAGGTGGCACGATTGATTCCACCTGTTTGTAGGGGAAGCAGCAAAACAGAGCCGCCGCCTTGATTTGAACCTCTGGAATGGAAAGCTGGACCAGTGCCTGTAGCTGCACCTGCATTTACCTCCAGGAACCAAATATTTGCTGACTTCCTCTGGAAAACATTGATATCTGCTAATTATTGTCAAGTTATCAGTCTCCCACCATTCCCCCTCAATACAGGAATCAAAAGAGAGAGGGAGGTGGAGCAGCCACAGTCCTTCAAAATAGATACTTATTGAAACGTCTTCTCACGGTAAACCTAAGGTTGAAGGCTAGGACATCACAGAACAGTCAGACAAACAGCACCAGAGGGAGGTGCAATTGGTTCTTCAATTGCATTTATTTAATTTATAGTCACAGATGAGCAAGGGGAGTGGCAACAAGGAAGACAAGAGTATTGATTCTGATTCACCACAGAAGAGGCCTGTTCAACACATGTAAACTTTCAGCAGGGAGAGAGCCAGCTGTAGGGATATAGGGGAATACCATGAATACAGACACTGCAACGCTGATCTGCAATGTGCCTGCGACCTTTCAAGCCGATTCACCCAAGACACAAGTTGCTTGGCTGAAATCCTTTAAGCACCACATTTGGCTGTCACGAGGGGTGATATTTGCACATAGTGAAATCCATCTCTGCAGAAGGCCAAGACTTACACACTGCAATGGTCCCCCTACGCCTTCAAACTCTGAGTTCAGAAAGAGTTTCAACTTTAAACTGCTCCTTCATACAGTGCGGGTCAAAGGGAAGAGGACTGCATTCTCCATGCTCTAATCACTCAGACAACAGAGGTGAACTGTTTGCTCTTACTGCGGTTTGAACTGTATAAGACGTGTTATCAACAAAGCACAAGGCCATTAAAAAAACTCCTCCTTAATGAAATGCAAAGGAGAATCAGAACTCTTGGCCTCCATTAAACACAGCTTGTCTCCAGCCATTTGTCAGTTCTGAGGTTCCACTCGCTTTTTTCTGACAGGTGACAGACACATCCTCTACTCTGCTTGCAGACCACAATAGGGAAATTTTCAACATCACGAGAGAAATAAGATCAGGAAAATAGGGTTGTTACAATGTGCAGAGCGCTGAGAGAAGCTGGGATGGAAACCGTGCCAGCCCTGCATGCAGAGCGTCTTCTACCTACAGTAACAAGCTCCACAGACAGGAAAGCACAAAAAACAGAGAACACAACACATTAGCTGAGTGCTTACGGCTCACCCAAGGCTGAAATAAGACCTTAATGAGAGCTCTATCACCAAATCACAATATCCACAAACAGGCTGATAACAGTATTTACTGGTTTCATATATTTGAAGCATGTCACTCACTAGCACCTACTGATCTAAATGGTAGAATCAACTGCAGATATAAGTTTCAGAAGTAGTAAGAGATCTGAGGCCAACTTCACATATATTCATTCTTGCAAATCACTCTCTGCACAGTGACTCCTCCCTCTTCCAAGAGGAGACAAGGGAATCAAAACCCGGGGATGCTGTGAGCAGTCGGCTGTTCTGGAGTCACAATCAGGGCTCAAGAGGCTGAAGAGAATTCAAGATCGTTTCAGAGTTGGAGGAAGCTACCTGTCTCTCTGGTCTCCAGGTTCTATCTGGAAAATTATTCTGAGGCTAACACCAAGGAAAACCTCTTCAAGACACTCCTAGCTGCAGACCTGGTTGATTAATCAGAAAGAACTCGGAAGTCAGCAGCATGGTTCAACACTGGCTTCCATGCCTTTTATCTTACTTGGGGAGGGATCTTAAAACAGAACTGCAGCCACTGGCCCTAGAGTCCATTTTGTTCCCCCTCTCTGGAATGTTCCTAATGTTCCTCTTCTGCGTTCAGTGCCCCAAGGGGACTTAGCCACTCCCTACATTTCCAAGGCGTCTCCTCTGATTCCAGCCATGCCTTGCTCCTCGTCCAGCTCTTTCTGCTCTGACCCAATAGTGTCATGTTAAATCACAGCCCTGATGGTACAGCCTGCCCTTCCCATTCGGCTCAGCTGTTAACCTGCAGACCGGCCAAGAGATTTGCCTACCCCAGGATTCTGCACCTGGACCAGCATACGTATCCCCAGGGGCACATGCTTTGCTGTTTGCATACAAACCCACCTGCTTCCTGATCCACCTGCTCTGGCACCTTGTCACTGCACACGTGACCAATGTATTCACAGGTGTAAGAGCGGGGCACAAAGCTTGTGCAGCCTTTTTGCAAAAAAAGGCACTGCCTCTCAGCTCTATCTCACGCCATCCCATTCCTGCACAGATGAAAAAAGCCTCTTCATCTGGCTTGCAATGCAACATGTTTTAAAAAAATGGAGCTATAATCAAATACTGCATTTCTCTGGAGCATACTGGACCAATGAAACACACATACTCTCTGCCTTGTAGATTTGGGAGACAGAACCATATAAAGAAAAATTAAATTTTTTTCTCCTTTTTGGATGTTTCTGGAAATCTTAGATGTCGTAGACCAGAATTCAAAGGATGTTACAGGAGGCCTCTTTAAGGAATTATGAATAACAAACAAAACCTGTGTTTCACACTATCAAAGATATAACAAAAATACCCTGATTCCATTAAAACAGATAATTGACACAATTCATCAGTTTTGGTTTTGTTTTTTTTCCCCAAAAGCACAAGTTTTTCCTTGAAAGCGTCTCCTGGGCAGAGCAACCTTAGGCTGTTTCTCCATGGCATAGACTACCTCGTTCCTTGACGTTCAGTGCATTTCACAGTTAATTTTCTCCCAGGGTTTTTTTTTCCCTGCCCTCCCCCTTCTTTTCCTTTAAAAATGTTTTTCTTAAATACTGTTATCTGAAAAAGCTCCGTGGGAGAAAGTGAGCACTACTTAGGCAGATGAGGACTACAGAGAGACTGAGAGAAAGAAGGGTGGAGCTGGGTTTTCCCATTGCCAGACTGCAACCTGGAGCATAACCTCACACTGTCATTCCTTGTTATTTTTCATTTTCCTCTTCTCCAGTGTAATAGATAATAACACAGGGAGCAGCAGGGACAATATGTTTGTAGGTGGCTGCTGGATTTTCAAACTGTTTCTTACCAGTATGTTCTGTGTAGGCAGAGCAGAGACCTGACATCGAGAACTGAAAGCAGATGATGTACCCTTTTTACAGCTGGAGGCTTGCAGAGTGAAATCACTTCATGGGAAATCTTTATTAGTGGATCTTACGCGCACAGTCTTTCAAAAAGGGAACTGAAGAAGGCTTAGCCAGCTGTCCAGCAGTGTCAGTGGATGCTTATGATTCTGTTTACCAGGTGTGTTGCTAGCCTCCCATTTTTTTCCTGATTTGCTTCACCCTCCGGGATTTCAGAATAGTATAGTTTGCATACCATGTGTGCTGTTCTGACAGGAGAGGGATGTAGAACGCACGCAGCAGCTTTGAGGACCTGAAACCAAAAAGGAAAAACAGATCGTCCTTGAAGCGCTCATTAGCCAACGTATGCAAAATGACAGAAATGAGGCTTTGAAAAAGATTTGGGCTGGTGAGCAAGCGATGTGGGGAATGACAGTGGTACAGACATATAAAGCCCAGTCCATCTTCTCCTCGTCAGTGGGACCAAAGCTGGTTTGTGCCAGTGTTACCAGCTTAAAAGCATCAGCCTGCTCAGTTCTTCCAACACCACCTACTCCGGTAGGATTAAAGGGGAGAGAGGGGAGGAAGGCATAATTATGGAAAGAAGCTTAGCTCCTGAATATCACGATCCAAACAGCAAGCAGTATAATCCCGTGGGCCTGACAGAAGACTTGGTACCATACAGATAAAAACAGCTCCCTTCCCTCAGGACACACTATGAAGCTGGAAGATAGCAAGGCTGCAGTTAGTTCCCAACATCTCCTATTTTCTGTTCAATCTGTCTGGCCTCCTCCTTCACAATGCCTGAAGTAGAGACAAACTTTGACCGGCTCCAGGATTCCAGAGTTTTGCTCTTCCGCTGAGGGTACTGAATTAAAGATGGAGGCACTGCTCTAAGACCTACAAGGCAATTTGTTGCTGGCTGTCACTATTCACTCCACAACCTCCTGGTGCCAGGAGCTGGTGTTTCACAGCATCTTGCAGCAACTGCGCCAGCAGAGTACTCAAGCATGGAGGGCTTAATGACTGTATCAAATTAGTACCCCTTGTTTGGCTGCTAATTGCTGGAGATGTGGTGGCTGAGTATATTCTAAATGCATGCACTCTTCTATTGAGCAAATTAATAGTAAAATCCAGGTTTAGATATGAAGTGGAAAAATAAGATAATTTCCGTTATCATCAACGCTGAACCCTCCTAGAAGCTATGAAATTTTGAGCAATTTCTTGAAATCAGGGCTGGGGCAAGTCTTGCCTTCTCAGCATTGAGGCTTAACTCTACACCTTATTTCTTTAAGATCATCTTGTTCGTAAACTATCAGCGCCTTGACAAACATAAGTCTAACTCCACCAACATAAAGCCAGCAGCAGCACTCAAATCCGTGATTTGCAGCATGCCAAGCGGTCAGTGATGGTACACAGATCCAGCATGTACTTGCTGTTCACTGTAATTCATGCAGCTATCCTGGTAACATAGCCAAGGTTCTGGACTTCCAATTTAAGTCTCTTTCAGAAGAAAGATGAACTGTGTTTTGTTTGCTTTTTGTAAGGCAGCATTGGATATCTTTCAAAGATGCAGTTCAAAAAAACAATGGCAGGAACTGCGACTGTGAACCAATCTCCCAGGAGGCTCTCAGGGTTCTTAGACAACCTCACTGTAGCATGACTGAGAACAGCAAACTCCTGAACTCCTGCAGCTTGGAATTCAAAGATCCTCCAGGAAAAGGCTGGTGATTCTTACTTGTACTGCCACAGCACCACTCAATATCAGCGTCCTTTTATATGAGATGCTACAGAAGCATAGAGCAAAACATTCTTCACTTGAAGAGTTCCCACTCCAGACAGACAAAGTGATGGGGAGGTAGTATTATTCCCATCTGGGAGAGGGGAAAAATGAGACAGAAAGTACGGTCTACCCTCAGAGAGGCCAAAGGAACCTGAACTCCCACAATTCACAAGTCCCATTCTTAATTGTGAGACTCTGCCTTCGTTCAGTATCCAGCATCCTGTAAGCCTGCTTTTTGCCAAGCGCTCAGATATATGCAAAGCCCTTTAGTCTATAAAATGCTGATTGCTTCACTTCCAAAAAACAAAAAGCTCAGTAGTAACATTTAGGCCCCTTACAAATTGGTAAGGGCCCACCAAAGTTCCTAAATAAAAGAACCACTGGAAATGCTAGTTCTTTGCGAATTCCTGAGGCGCTAGAATTGGGAATATGTTCAAATCAGAATCTCTTAGTAGCAAATAACTAGGTGGAAGACGGTAATTTTGGTGTGTTCTGAATAAGGAACATTTTTTGCAGCTGTCATTTCCTTGTGCTTGAAAATCAGAGGCTGACCTCTCTCCAGTCTCTAGAAGTAAAAGCACCCCCTTGGAAAAGAACGCTTGCATTTCCTCCTCCATCTCTTGTGGCTAACAAACACTGTGTCATTGCTGAACTTATTCTGGCATCTCCTCCTCTGCGCCTGACAGCCCACCATTGCCTGAGCCAACAGAAACGTTGGCACAAGCTTACATGTGCACACACACACACAACACAGGCACACACATACATATCTCGATACTGAAGCTTGCTGCTCTCTGAATGGTTTAGTTTCACTTCGTTTCCCTCGAGTGAAGGGGAAAAAAAAAAAAAAAAGCAACTGCGTTCATGCTGCTTGCAATGCTGTTTAAATTAAGTAAAATGAAAAATAAGAGTGAATATCAGCTTAACGCTACACTGTAAGGAAGGGGTGAAAACTAGCACAATTCCCCAGAGTTCTGGGTTCATGCAGAACAAGAGCAACAGCTTGAGTTAAAAATGAAGTAACTGGATGAATTTGCCTTGCACAATTTAGCTCAGGGACAGGGAGGAAGGCAGCAGCTACAGCTGATGGCTGAGGTCCTGACTATAGAGTCTGTCACACTGAAAATGCTTTCAGCCACTCAGTCCAGGCTTACAGCTGACAGTAGTCAGATAACACTGCTGGTTCACGTCCTCCCCTCGACCTGGATGCATCTACATAACGACAGCCTGCCCAGGCCAGCACTCTATGAACGAGTGGCACTCCAGCAGTAGTGGGTCGGACTGCTGGAGCAACAGAACTAAGTGCCTGTGGTGCCATCAGCACTGGTGCCTCTCACAGTCCTGCGGAAACACATACTAGCCTGTCTTCACTTCCTCTTCTTCACACCTTTTGTGAGAAGCACTCCCTACACCTTTTACTTGCTGGTGTTCTAAGAGGTGCTAACTACAGGGCCCAGCATAGCTCACGTGCTCATGTGAGCTCACGTGGTCCGTACGGCTCAGGTTGATAATCTGCAGAATTCAGTTTTGCATTGTAGAACAGAAGGCTATTTCAAGATCTGGCAGTAGCAAAAGAAAGCCAGTTCAAATCCTCCTAAATAAGCTTACTCAGTGCCATCACCCTGAGTTTGCTGACAGCCTGAAACAACAACTTGGAGCAATGGAAGCTCTCCACATGCTCCTAATTTCTCTGGCAACTCAGCCCTTATTAACAGTAGTTTGAATGTCAGTGCTCACTGCTCCATAGTTTTTATCAGCAGCGGAATGGGAGGAGAAAAATACTGTTGGCAGAAAGAAGATCACGAAAGAGAAAAGAGGGAGGAAAGACTGATGGAAAAAAAAAAAAAAAAGAGAATCGAGGGCGGAAAATGACGAGAAATGCAGAGCAGAAAGATAAGCTGCTCTTCCCACCAGTGGATGTCATACATACTGTGAAGACACAAAGCCCATGACAACTAACAATACAGTGAGTTGGTGGATAAAGGATGCAGTTCATCTACATTCCTTTTCCCTGGGCAGAACTCCCCCCGGAACAAGGAGTACTTGCTCCAAGAACAGAGAGAGGTAAATCTCATTTAACCAGAGGAGATCCCCAAAATGAAGTTCAACCTGCTTTTCAAGGTAACGTGATACTATCGCTTGAACTCTCAGGTCTATAAGGAATCCTTGGTTTCTACTGGGTGTTAGCTAGCCAGGCTTCTGGTGCCATAGCAAAATGAATCCTCATTGACAAGATTTATAAATTACCCAGCCTAAGGACATGGGTTAAAAACAAGACAAGAGAAAATAAAAGATGCATATTAAAAATAACAACATTGATGCACTCAGAAAAAGCCACACACAGCTCAGGTCCAAAACGATGAATACCTGAAAATGATATGGCAAATGGGGGCACCAAGGATATGTGGTCCATAGTTGTAAGCACAGCCTTTATGTTTGTTAAGCAGCAGCTTTCTCACCAAAAAGAGACGTGGTCTGGACGCAAGCACGTTGTTATTCTCTTTCCTGCTCTTAACTACACAGTGGCAAGGTCCTGGAGGCCTTGCTTCCAATGAGATAATCATAACTGCTGGTGCACTTACAGCTCAGAAAGCAATGAGAGCACTTTAATTCAAACAGGGAGTCTTTACCTCCTGTCACCTTGCTCCGTCAGCCTCAGCAACCTCAGACAACAGATGGCACATGGAAGGGGTTGGGATGACAGAAGACAGCGAGTATATATAATTCTATGTTCTATTTGCATGTGCTTCTAAATTTGCACCCCAGAGACTGTGAGTGTGTGTAGCCTTAAGGAGCACAGAGCTCCCATGCAGCATCTTGGTAGCAAGATCAAGGCCACAATGATTCCAAGTTGGGTAGCCAAGGGTCCAGTGCAATGCTGCCAGAACACTGCTACAGCAAGGCTCTTCAAATGGCAGGCTCTGGGCCAGAGCTGGGCAACAGGCAAATTCTGCCCAGTCCTTGCTGTGCCCCAGATGTGGGAGGTCTCCCACACTCCAGAAGGAAGTCCTAATACTTTCCATTTTTCTGGTCTCTGGGACAGCACCCAGGGCAGTTCCCAGTTAGGGCAGAGCTGCACAGCACCCCGCTAGGCCCCGCAGAGCTGCAACCACAGCACTGTTTGGTGCTGAGCATATTTCTATGAACTACTTCAGGAGAAAGCAACCGAACAGCCCTGTTCTATTAACTCCAGTGGATGCTCTTCTAGACCAGGAGCAAGAACTGCTAAGTGAAGGAGTTCAAGTCCTTGCTTCCAAACTCAATGACTTACTTGGAATGGAAGCAGCTAGATTATACACCGGGGCGGGGGGAGAGAACTGTTCTTTCTTGCTAATTGCATCTTGTAGTCTGAACTTCTCACTCCAGTCAGCAGAATTCAGAAAGACGCATGAGGAGGAAGGGGAGAAAGGAAAGGTAGAAGAGGAGGCAGGATGAAGTTGGATCTCTGCCACATGAGCAGGACCTAGTACCTTCTGGCTGCTGGCACACACAGGAAGCCTGTGATCAAAGCTCTCTGAGAACCCATTAACATTTGCACTTCCTCTAGGTGTTAAATTCTGAACCAACTGGGCACCTAACAAGTGATTTAGCTACTTATAAAACACAAGCAGGGAAACCATTTCATGTAACATGGAGGAAAGCACTGCTAAAGGGAATGAGACAGAGTCTCTTATCAAACCAGGGTGATGATATTCTAGTACAAGGTGACTGAATCATTAATCTTGTATTAAGAATATTTTTTATGATGGAAAACCCAAGGGTGAGAGCACAAGCATTTGGAGCAAGCAGACGGCTCAGCCTAAAGAGCTGGAAAATATGTGCTCCTCAGCAGGGAGCTGTAATATATTTCCCCTTTTCTCTGCCAGATTTGGAGCGCTGAGCCAATATAGAATTAAATGGACCTGGACAAAGCAGCTTCCTGAGGAGCATAATTAGCTGGTGGCTTGGAGTGCTCTCTAATTCAATTAGCAGCACCATTTATCAGAGCCAGCTGAGATTTACATTTGCACTTGCTGACGTCAATGTGAGACTCGCAGTAAGTCCCAGAAGCCTTCAGTTCAGCAG